AATGTTTTTATTGAGAGAGGGTAAAGAAATTAAGAGCCACAGCAAAATGTAGTGTGCTGTTTCCTGCAGAAGCCCTCTTACATTTTCTGGACCAGTCCTGAAGTCTGTCCCTTTCTATTGTTCAATTCTTAGACAGTCTGTCATATTCAGGAAATAAGCCATGATATAAAGCTATTTATTTTTCTCTTATTATTTGCACCCTCAGATATTTAATTTGATTAGTTTCAGCTTAATAGTTTCGACATTTCTGCCACAAATGTAAACCAAAAAAATACTGGCTAATCTAATCGAAACATAACCATCAATGGAATGGCTATAGCATCTATCTCCTAAGAACAGAAGCAGTAAAAACCTTTAAGAATGTTTTGTGATTAATTTTTTTAAAGAACAGGGAAGGTTAACAGTACATTTCCCATCACCTGACATTTTAACTTAAGATGGGCAGCGGCTGGGAGATGTTACTGACGGATTCAGCAGTTTCTTGATGAGATTCTCTGGGCTATAAAATACAGGAGCTAGGGCCTAGTGAGCGTGATAGCCTCCTCTGCTCTTCAAACCATACACAAAACAGTACATATGGAAATGAATGGTTTCTTTCCAAATACAGTCAACTGCTTAGTGTAGCCATGAGATGTCAGCAGAGACCGCTGTTTCATTATAAAATGGAAAAGGTTTCTTAAGTCAGAGCATTCAAACTATGATTACTAGCAATATAAACGCCAAAGTGGGATGTGACAGCAGTAAAAGCTAGTAAAAGATCTAATTTTTTGTAACCTAACTAGAATGCAATCCACTAATTAAAGACCTGTAACCTAAACCAGGGACGGCTAAAACTCTGTGGGTTGAACCTGGCCTTCAAGGTACTTTTGGCTGGCCTCTGAGAACATCTGACCAAATTTCTGTGAGCTTGCAACTGCTGGGCTAACAACTGTGCCCACTTAGCAAACACACGGCAGGTACTGAGGCACAGGGGAGCCCCTCTTGAGCATGGTTATACCAATTCTGGGGACAGTTTGATTCTCTAGTACAAAGCCAGAGCATTCGTTCTAACCTTTTTGGTCCTGAGCTGGAGCAATTCAATCTGTTAATATGAAAATGACAGTCAGGAGGCCAATGTTTTTTACTGATATATCTCAGCTAACTGTGAACTGCTTTGCTTCAAGGAATTTACAAAATGAACCAGAGAAAAGGATATCTATATTTATGAAGAAGGCTCAGATTTCTTCAGATTTTGTAACCTAGTAAGAGTTTGAGACCATTGGATTTCGTTTGCAAAACAATGCAAAACAAGTGATAAAATTGGAGGCCACGATTACTTGGTGTCAACCAACCTTGGGAAAATCAAAGTCTTTTGGATCTATCTCATCGGCCAGTGCCAGTTTCCCTTAACAGCGTCAGTGGGCAGGCACTCCATGGCGTGCTGTGGTCACCTTAGTGGAGAGGTTCTGGGCAGATTGTGGCTCTCTCCCGCTGTTGACCAACCAGGCATGGACAAAGCATGTCCTGTTTGGTCTCCAACCTGCCATCCTGTTAAGTTTGGAAGGAGGAAATTATGAATCACTTGTGTCTGCATAGAGTCAGTCAGGTCTATTGGCTTTGGACCAGTGACCAACAAACTCATGGAGCTACTTTGACTGAAGATGTGTCTGAACCAATAATGTCCCCTTGGTCACCAGAGGCAGGTACACAGAGACAGCCAAGCTGCTCTGCAGCAGCCAGCTCAGGAACAGCACAGACCCAGACTGAACCCTTGTGGTTTCATGTCTACACTATATTCACCAGCATCTCCTCTAAATGTCTTGTATCTCTGCAGTTTTTTCACCCTTGAGGATTCCTTTGACCTTCCCTATCCTTCTCTGCCATCCCTTGAGGAAGCCTTTAAATTAGTGACTATTATCGGCCAGTAGCTCTGTGCACTCTACCCACTCAGTACATCTGTTTTTCTTCACTTAAAATGTGGCCAATTATCTGTGAGTTTGCAGTTCACCAGAAAGTAATGGGAACAGTCAGTGTACTCATCTCAGTAACGCATTTTGGGGAAAATACAGAAAAGAACTGGGTGTTAAATAAACATTAGTTTCAGTAAGAGGAAGAAGCTGATAAGGTGACTTGTATCAAATCACATAAAATCCTTTCCAGGATGTTTTCTCTTTCTAGCATAATTCTTCAAAATGTTCAAGGGTTATTTGACTATCCCAAACCACCTATTTTTCTTTGTATTCAGAAGGAATTTCAGAGAAATTCAGGGGTTATACAAATATTCAAGAGCAGAAGATACTCTTTATTACCATTGTGCCAGATATTGCAGGAAGCCAGAATGAGAAATTTAGGAAAGCCATGGAAATGAGAATTGCTCTAATTCAATAACAGATTCATTGGCTTTCTATATTAGATTTGATCACTTGAGTATTTTCTATTGTAGCTGCGTAAGTGTCTTATAAATACCTACCACATGTGACTCAGGCACTTCAAAAGCATCATATAAACTGTAGAATAGATCTGCAGAGAAAGTTAAAGAAAAATATATATCTTAGTTCTTCCATGTCTTTGTAAACAATTCCCAGCTCTGAGATGTCATTTTATTCAATTTTACAACATTCAAAACCACTGTAAAGTAACATCTGTAATAAATACTCAAAAAATAACTCAGATGATATTTTACTATTACAGCTTACAGTAATGTCTGAGTAACATCATAAAATTGTATTATAAATAGATTCACCAGCACCAAAACATAGAAATATTACATTTTACATAGTTCACTCAAGCACATGGAAATTTGGCTACAAAGGTTTTTTTTCCTACTTTTCTTATAGAGCTGATTTGGTATGCTTTAACTTGTAAAATGACTGAATTACCCAGTCCCAACATAAGGCAACATGGAAAATACGTGAAAACCAATGGGGGAGCAAGTGAGAATTACAAAATTGTACTGGCTATTCACTGAATTTCTGTTTCTCAGTCTATTCAGGATTTCTAGCCTTATTTCATTCTGATAACAAGCAAGGTCTGCCAACTAAGGTCTTAGACTGGGATTCAGAAACTCTGGTTTCATGTGACCTTGGGCAGTTTGTCTGCCTCAGTTCTCCATTCACAGCATGGCAGTAATAATGTTTCCTTGTATCTCCAAAGACTGTAAGCTCTTGAAGCTCCCTGACACTAGTTTTTGTAACGTAATTGGTACTGTGAGACTAAGATCAGAGCTGAGCTCAGTAAGAGAAAATGTGCAGTCTTTAACACAAGACACAATGATAAAATTGTTCTGTTATTTAACAGAGGTAGGTAAATGACGCCCTTTGCACTACTGGAAGAAGTACAAGGGACTTGCCCAACGACACAGTGTGCCTTGCTGACACAGCTCCCGAGTCACAGTCTTGAACTGTAATATGCTGAAGTCCTCCAGAAACACATGATCTAACAGAAATTTAGTGGAGCTGTTAACATGTTCAAGTCTTTATCCCAAGCCACAGTGGTCAGGGAAAATTTCTTCATTACCATCAGTGGGCACTGGAGTAAATTTTCTCTTAAACACTATTACCCAGATGAAAAATTAATAAAGAAAAACTAGATTGCTTGGCACCCAAGATGAAATTCAGGTATCCTGTCTGTTCACTTTTACTCAGCAGTTTTCAGCACAAGTTAAACATATTCTAGCACAAAGCAAGTTACAGATTTCATGAAAAGGAAACATCATCAAAATTGCTAAGTAAAAACTGGGAAATGCATCAGATACATCTTCTGCATTACAGAATTGAAAAAGCAGCTAGTAATAAGCTGAGAGAGATAAGTATGTAGCCTCCTACATCTGATAGATTGGGGCTGGCTACAGTAGTTAGTTAAAACATCTGGAAAAGCAGCTGTAGCTCTCTCTTGTTACACTATTGCTACACAAATGTGAGTACACTCACCATTGCACTGCACTTGAGGACTTCACCATTATAGTCACTACTGTCTGCTGGATAACTAATATCAAGTTATTCACAGTATCTAGGCCTTATATCCTTTCATTTTATCACAGCACCAAAGCTCATTTTTAGAAAATGACTCATTTCTTTGTTTTCACCTTGTAAGTAACGATTTTAGGAAAGAGAACATGATGCTGTGTCTCTCCTTAGACATTACACATAGCTGACATGGATTAGGCTTCTGGGCTTCTCCAGTTTCTCAAATCATCCCATTTTTGTGTGTTGTCACAAAGAAATAGTGTGATTGTGGTATAGAAGAGAGGAGGGCCTCTTTGGGGATACATGAGGGAAAAGAAAGATCGTATTACCTCACTAGACATCCTAGCCATGCCCTAGTGCTGGGGATTACCACTGGAGTTCTCCAAATATTCTGAAGTTCTTCCTATTCTGGGTCTTTACTTTTGATTTTACTTTGTGCAACAAAACCATGTTAAGTATGCAATATTAATTGAGGATATTTACGCCTCACACTCTCTCCCTGGGTTCAGGCGTATAGACATCATATCTCTCTGTGGTCCTCCAAAGGCAGCAGGAAGGTCACGCTACTACCACGAAGCAGCCATCTCGGAGCAGCTCCGCTGGCAGAGGCTGTCAACGTGACTGGAATCCTAGGCACACTTATCAGGAGTCTCAGAGGAGAAACCAAAAGCTAAGTAGGCCGTGCAGAGTGGCCTGCAAGGTACTCTGAGGCACTTTGCTGGGACAGCAGAAAGGAGAAAAGAAAGCAAGAAATCTGTCTTGTTCTAAGCAATGAATGGAGATGTCTTACGAGCTGCCAGCTGAAATTATTTTGGAAACACTAACGCTGCAATGTACTTTCTGCTAAAGTCACAAGGGTTTCCTTATCGACAACACTTGAAATGTTTTACTGATTTATTTTTGTGTTTTATAGCTAACTGTGAGAAGGGTTTATGGCAGCTGGCAAGATACTCAGTCACAGTCTTGCCACTTTTATTACCCCTAGTGACCAGATGGACCAAGCAATCCACATTTCTAGGCTCTGCAGGGTTCTGTTGTTGCACTGCTACCTGTTGTTCATAATGCCTGTTCACGTCGCTGTTTCAGATCCACAACTCTTGCTGCCAGGAGAAACACAGCCCCAGTGAGCACTTCAGCGACAAAGGAGATCCAGACTAGTGCCAGCGACCAGCCAAACCTGATGTCGATTTCTACCAGGAGATCCTTACTCCTCAGGAGGCAGACAGCTTCTTCAAAGGCAGCAGCTGAATATGCAATATAGACGCTGATCCCAGTAAGTGTAACAAGAGCTGGGAAAGAAAAACGTATTCAGCTAGTTAGCATCCACTGCAGAAATGAAAAATAATTAATTTGATATCTCTTAGGGCTCCTTTGCCACTCCTTCCTATCTACCCAGGCCAGATTGCCAGTTAGCCTCTGTTTACCTTTGCAATCTAGTTGAGGCTGTTTTTTGGGGAAGGGTGAGAGGGAAGTAAAGGGAGGGTTTTTTCTATCCATTGAGTTTAATGTGCTCTCACTGTTAAATACTGAATCAAAATGTATAACAGCAAGCCTCTCACAATAAAAATCTAGTCATGTTTTTTACAGATATCTAATGCATGTACATCTCTGTTTTCAATATTGTATTATAAGGCATCCTGATTTCTCACTGCTGTGTACCACATACAGTTGTCTACCTCTGTGCAAGAAAGCCCATGGAGACAGAGATTCTTGCATTTCAGGTCAGTGACCTGAATTTAGGCTGGTTTCTAATTTTGAGTATTGTAAGTTCTGAATGTTCAACGTAAATGTGTTGGTCTTTACTGGCACATCCCATCAAGTGTTGTGGAGTCATGACCATTCATCACTTCCAAATAATTGATCCACAGACATTCTTGGAGCAGACTAAAAACAAATTAATAAAGGCACTCAAACAAGAAGCCAGATGTTTTCAGAATGAAAGGACTGTACAGAAGCTAGCAGACTTAGGGAAAGGCACATCTAGCACAAGTACATGCTACATCCTGGGCCTGGCATCTATGTCACTCAAAGGACATATAATAACTTATGACATTACTGGATCAGTGGCAGAAAAGATGCGATAGAAAGGCCCTGGATTAAAGGACTGCAGCCCAGGGAAAGTAGACACTGGAACACTTGTAGGACAAGATGATAGTTTCTTATCTGATTCTGAGGGTGAAAAATTTTCATCTGGCTTTCTGTTAAATCACAGTGTAAGTCTAGATGAGTCCGCATTTTTGCCAGAAAGACAAGGTTGAGTAAAGACAAACCAAGACCAAAGTGTATTGAGTTACCAACATCAAAATTCATACTCATATTCCTGATGTTAACCATGCTATGATGCCTCTACCTTATTCTAGTCCTCTGTAAGGGGGGAAAAAATCACTTTTCTATACGTTTTGTCAGCAGAAATGGAAATTACTATTTTCTTGACATTTTCAACAAGGTACGCTGAGTTCTGTGATCCCCCTTAAATGTGGCCGCATTTAAAAAAAAATGGGGAAGCATGTAGGATGTCCTGGGATGTGCAACATATCAATTCTGGTATTTTCAGAAAAACTCAGGTTTCTGGAATTGCATCATGAAATATTTCTTTCTGCTGAGACAGAACTATCAATACTGAACTTCATGAACTGGAATATCCTATAAAGCTGTGCATGCCTGTTACGTGCCTCAAGCCTCAGTGCAGCTGAACAATACCGCCTGAAGGGGAAGAGGGTCTGGTCTCACACCACAGGCCACGCTGCACTCTCTTCACGCTGTCCTGGGAAACAGCACGAGTTGCATCTTCAGAACATATTCAAGCACCCCTCTCCTAATACTGTCTTTGCGTTTCCTTTCCCTCTTTGCAACCCCAAGTGTCTTAGAAAGGCACAGCACTCCACTCCTCCGCAGGATAATCATGCTTTGCGCTTCACAGCTTTTCATTTTTCACTTACAATTTGGAGCAGTTTTCAAATAGCCTAAGCCTTTTTAGTGAATACAGCTTTCTGTATTCTGTTCTAAGGAAAAAGAAGTTACTTTTTATTTTTTTTCCAGAAGAAACACATAAGGCGGATGGCTGGTCTTTGTAAGAGCATTTCAGACTAAAAAGTTCAGTCAAGACTTTGAGACAGCAGCATTTGCTTCCAGCAATCTCTTATCATTCTCTTCTTAGAAACAGGACTGCATGATCAGGTGATGAGGGCCAATACTGAGGATCCCCTTTTCTGTTGGGGAAAATTTCTGTGTCAAGTTACATTGTAAAACAGTACTGAAAATCTATTTGGAGAAGAAAATGGAGATGGATTTAAACCCAGTTTTCCTACCCTAACAGAATGTTTTTAGTTTTAATTCATAAATGACCTTCTAGAACACAGAGGTTTTGGTTACAGCAAAAACAATAAAAAACAAAATGTAAAAGAATGTTACTAGCTTCAAATGATTATACTCCAACTAAAATAACTCTTTGAGGTTTCCTTTTGTGACCCACAGTTTGGGGACACCACTCTAGTTCAAAACTAGCAGGAGCGAACCCAAGAATGCCTAGCAAGACCCTTTTCAGGAACATGCAAATGCCTTTGAAAAAATGTTGGTTTTCTTAATAGTTGTAAGATCTGTGCAAGGCTATCGAACCCTATGCTTTACTAATTCCAAAGTCACTTCTCCATTAACTCCATTACACTGTCTGTGAAGAATTTGGGCACTGTGCTGAGAAGGTATTAAATCTTTTGTGTTAATGAGCACAGCAAACACATTGTGTTCGAAGTGGGACTCACTCCACGAGGATGTATGGTTGTGTGTGATTATTTGCCTTTCCTGCCTCTAAGTGGCAGCTTTCTATTCCAGAACCCTGTCAGGAGCTGAGCAGACACCAAGTGAATGAACACCAGCATTATTCTGAAAGCAAACTCTTGCTTAGCTTTTTTCCCCTGGAAGACAAAGTGATGTTTCCCAGATATAATCTCTTGTTATTTAAAATGGTTAAGCCAGGAGTTTGATATAGTACCTCCAAAAAGAAAAAGCAGTCCCGTCATTAGAAGCAGCAGGTAGGCCCTGGCAAGAATACTGATGAATCCAGTCATTCCTCCAAAAATCATCAATATCAGGCTGAGGGGCATCAGGATGACAAATGTTCCATGCATGTCTGAAGAAAAATGAAGAAAGTTAATATTTTAATATTTTATTATGGTGTCATTGGATGTACTAATAATTATTGAGTGCAGAGCCCCTGATCAGGATCAAAAACCTTATTCTGCACTGTGTAAACAAGGAGTTGGACAATCTCTTGGCTTTTCAGTTTAAGTCAGCAGGACAAATATGTGGTATGGAGAAAAGGGTAACAGAGCAAGCCCTTCACAGGATCACAGCCTGTGTTTCAAACAGAGACCACAAATATAAAGGGTATGTCTACACAGCTATATTTAAGCAATTAAACCATTCTCAGATATTAAGCCTAGCTGGAGAACAGGTGATGCATTGCATATCAGGTAGTCACTGACAACCTTAATAAAAAGTAGCCCTGGTTATCTGAATCATACAGATCACAGGGAGTGGCATTGTTCTCTTTGGGCGGTGAGACCCAGCAGATGCTGTGGTTAAACGCCTTCTTTCGTGTCTCATGTCCTCTGCTGAACTGATCTAGCAAATTGTTGACCTTTTCCTTTGCTGCAGCCAACCATCGACTAGCAGTAAATTTTCCCATCCAGCTCTGATTCTGTGTCTGTCATTGTTTTTCTACAGCAGCTTCACTAAGGATATTAACCTATCCTGGTTGCTTCCTCCCATGCTAAGTGTTTTATATTAGTCTTTATTGATCCCTACAACGTTTTAATAGCTGCGTAAACAGAGGGTTGCTATGTATTTTTTCATATCACACTGTTCTTTCCATCATAAACCATCTTTGTGTCATTGTTCCTTCTCATGCAATCAATCCACAATGTTCAACCTAACCTTTTCTAGAATAATAACAAAAAAAAGTAATTCCAGCTTCCCGTATCCATTTATTTCATACCAGAGTGAGGTGCAGAGTTACTGAGAAAGGAAAACTTAAAATCCATTTTCTGAAAGGCTTTAGTGTCTCATTTAATTTCACAGAGGAACAACAATACAGCATGAGCTGGTTCCCAAGGAAAAGGAGTCAGTTAAGAGATCACAGTTTGTGTGTGATCAGATGATCAATTTTTTTAAGTCACTGTAGCTGCCCACTGAAGTGGAGGTGCTCTACTTGTCACTGGCTAAGGATCCAGCTTATCCTCTTCAATATCATTATAAAGATAAGACACAATTGTGTACATATCCCTGTTCAGTTCTAGAACCTCGGAAGGTTAGGAAGAGCCTGCATGGGATCAAGGCAGACACTGTTGATTTCTTTACTTGAGTAGAATGTGGTTTCAAGACTTACTTCTTTGTTTTGTGTAGTACAGAACACGCTTACAAGGAAAAATGTGGCAAATGACAAAGTTTTAGGAGGTGACCGTATTGTCCTTCCATTTCCTTTTATTTACGCTGGTATTATATTCTCATCTTTAGTCCTACATATGCCCACATCAGGATCAGGTGATGCTCAGAAACCACGAATTCAGCATTCTGCATCGAAGGGAGCACTCTCTCTCCTTGCTACTAAATCTGAGGATACTCCATGGGCTTTCCTTCAGCAAAACTGGCCATGGCTGCTGTTGCTGGCTAAGAAACCCAAACCTATAGCAATTCTCAGACACTAATGGTCAAATTAATCTCCAGCTTACCCTGTTTAAACCAGTATGTCAAAACTGTTTGCAAATCTTAGTTGAATACTAAGAGGAGAAATAGCTGTGGAACCTAGTTCAGGAGGTTTATATAGTTAGAAGTGGTTGTCAGGGATGTGATGCAATATGATGTGACAGAACAGAGATTTGGCACATAATTTAACTCTCATATTCTAGGCAGGCAGCAGAACAGGCTAGTCTTCTGCCCCGTTTGTGCTTCCTGAGGGTATTAGGCCTGATTTTGATTCCCCACCATTTTGACATCCCTGTGTCCTCTTAGACTTGGTCTTGCATGTAAGAGGTGAAGAGGCCTTGGGGAGATAAAATCTGATGCAATTAATAATATAAAGGTAAGAACGTAAGAATGGTGCAACTCTGTCCTCAGACCTGGCTTTGCTGGGAAGAAAGAAACATAAACAAGGTCACCACTGGGCCTGTGTTTTGTGATTTTCCACGTGTCCCTCACTAGTCAAAGTTGCTGCTAACAAACTGTACCTCAGGACAGTAGCACTAACAGTTGCTGTTTCTTTGACTTTCCTTTTCATGGTGTGATTTCTGTTACAGCAGCTAGGACTGTAACCTTGGCCAGGACAAGCGTGGGTGAAGAAGATAAGGCTCTGAACGTAACCTTTTCTTTTGAAGCAAAAGGAAAACAAATCCATACCAGAGTATTTTCCTGGGGAGTGTCACAGATTTCATTAATGATCTGTGACAGTTACGTGCAACATCAGCATAACTGATTTTTATGCCCTTTTCAGTGAAAACATAGGTTTTAGGGATATCTCAGCTGAAATCCACAAATCCCACTGTGACAGAGCCTTACTTTGCCTACACACAGCTGGGATCACATTTCTTGTGAATCACCTGCAGCTTTTTTAAAATAAAATATTTAATGGATTGTATTTCGTTAAACAGCACTTTTATCACCTCCAGTGTTCTAGTCCAATACCTAATACCCATTTGTCCTTCTTCTATGAAATCTGCAACTGCCTGGGAAACTTATTCTAAAATGCTGCCATGGAAACCACTCAGGAATCTGAATTCATGCCGTCTGGCATATGATATTATGCCATTATAATCCTTGATTAGAGGGACAGAATTAGTTTATAGAAGGACATGACTTAAAATATCTTTACTGTGTTTCTGTCTTCAATAATATCTGTGAAAGAAGTTAAAACATCAATTTTGCAGTCATTTTAGTGTTTTTTAGGTTGTATTGAAATACATATTTATGCATTATGTATGATATATATAAATGTCTTCATTTTGATGAAATTAATCTAGTATTGAAAAAAACGAACCTAAGCATTTCACACAAGAGGTATGTGCACTTTCCTGTAAAACAAAATTCAGTTTCCCACATCTATTTCTCAACGCCTGAGTTCCCTGTCAGTCCAACATGAAAGATCCAATAGTTTAGTCTTGAAAATACTGAAACAAACTGATGAACATTTAAAAAACACTCTAGTTTTTTGTAGCAAAAAATACTTTAATGGCTTGATCTGAGTTAATGAAGTTTTACATCAGCTAGCCAAAGCTGTTTCACTAGAGGCCTGACAAACATCTGTAAGAATGACATCTGCAGTATGTGTCCAGATCTGTGAATTTGGCAGTCATTTCTAAATTACCACCCAACACAGTTGTTGATGAATTGTTTGTAACAGAAATTTGTGGAATGAACTAGAAAAATTGAATGGTGTCAAAAGTAAGATCTAGCAGTTTTGTTAATCATCTCCTGTTAACATGCTGGAGCTTAATTGTTTCAAACTAACTTTGGGTTTGTTTGCACAGCTTATAATAGCAAATAGTCTCTAGAAATCTCTAATAGTCACCTCATCAGAAATACTACAAATGGCAGCAGCTCAGAAGAGCTTAATTAAGGACCTGTTTATCTTCCCCAGCAGTAACTAAATAGCCAGTTAGAAAGACAAAAGCCTCTAGCTGAAACAGAATGCCCGCAGTAGCTAAAACCAGCAGGGCTGCTCTGGAAAGACTTGGCAAAGCCAAGAAGAAACAGTGCACTGAGAAAGCCTGACCTGCTTGCAAGGAAGGAAGGAAGGAAACAACTTAGAGAAGCAACGAGCAACAGAAAAGAACTGCTGTCTGTAGCTAAATGTGAGACTTCTGGGCTTGAACCCCAGGGACACCAAGGCCTGGATTCCCTCCTGTTCAGCAGAGAAAAGATGACGGTGGATGAAAGCTGCCAGGGTTAGGGTATCCCAGGATAACTGGCTAAGCTCTGGACTTTGTGTTACATGTTTTGGCTTTGTGCTCTTCTCATGCAACAAGTCTCTGAGCTAAACTGGAAGACAAATTGCAGACAGTAGAAATAAAATTATGCTAGACTTGGTACAGGTGGGCACTGACAAAAACCTTCAATAGTAGGAATGGCTAGAATGATAAACGTAAGTGATGCACTGTGGTTCACATTCTATTGCTACAATACCAATGAATTTAAAAATGAGAATATTCATTAGAAGTTGTCACTCATTAGGTCTCAGCTGCAGTGATGCTAAAGTTATCACAGATTTCTGTATGTACTTACTGTAATATCTACTGTAAGTACCTAAGCAACTGTTCACTGGAACCTCTTTGAAGGACCACTGCACTGTTGCTCAGAAACAAAGCAGATCCATTTAGGTATACACCTACCGTATCAATTAAGTTAGAATTTCTATGTACATCATTTGGGTCTTATTTCACTTGGCCTCTGAAGTGGCTCTTGCCAGGTATTCCAGCCCTAGCTGTTTCCTTCTGATAACTTAAAACCAAAAGGAAAAATTATGAAGAACTGTAAATCCCCCAGGAAAAAGGTCATGGCAGCCAAAGAATAAGGCATTTTGGGATTACAAACAGGAGTATACACATGTAACTCAGTAAAACTGAAGCAGGCCATAAAGATTGGGGAGAAGTGTGAAAGCAGCTGGTTAGTGACTGTTACAGGGTCCACATACTATAAGGCAATCTAGTCTAGTTTAATGGTACTATTAAACTACTTTTGTTGAAGAAGGAACCAAGGGAGCTGTTACATTATACCAACTGAGGTATCAGCAACTGCTCCTGCTGCAAAAGATTGTTTCCCTAAAGGAAGCACTAATTTGTCTGCAGCTACACTGATGTCTAAAAAAGAAAAAAAAAAAATACGCTGGGGAGAATAATTTACGTAGTTGTGCACGGGCAGCTGCACGCTCCAGTCTTGGTTTCATAACAAGAAAAATGTTTTCTTCCAGCCATATATAAGTGGAAATCACATCCATTAACTGATCATCTCTGGATGGCTCAGGAATACAGGACAGCACTAAAAAGTGACTTGTAACAGGGAATCAATCACTGGCCATGATGGTCATGTCACCAACAAAGATCAGGATTGTCAGAGGCTTAATCATACCTTGTAGGTACCTAATGCAGCTGGTTTGTGTGTCAGGGGCAAACCAGGCGGGCATTAAGAAATAACAGTAGTTCCTTTCACGTTATTTTTCATAACACTAGCCCCAGCTCTGCAGTATAGATGGGACCCTGCACCAGGCTGGCATGCAAAGCCAAGATTTAAGAGAAATGATCTGTTTTGTAATTTTGCAAGTGTTTGTTTGCATCTTTGGACCAAAATGGCTTTTTATATTTTGGCCAAATAACATGTTATAGATATATATAAAAAAAAAAAAAAAGCTTTGTGGCAATTTGGTTTTATAACAAATTTCACCATGCTTTGAAAAAACCTTAGCCACAGCTTTCCAGGATCAGCAAATATATAGCATTTAGTTCAGAAGAATGTAGATGGAACTAATTTTTATGTTACCAAGCAGGGGTCACTATCCAGCCATAACTGAGGCACATAGAACAGGTTACTTGAGATTCCAAAAAGTCAAGCTCATAGAATAGTTTTGACAGGCTACATTAGTATCAAGCAAACACTTTACTTTCTTCTTTTGACAGCTCATCTGTCCTGCAAGAAGTACTTGAACCAAGTCCAGAGTGCAAATTGATTTTGATGAGAAATATTTACAAAATTGTTCATTTTGCAGGGATTACACAGGTGCTGACTTTAGCTAAATCTACACTAGTATTTACTAATTATTAACAATACAGATTTTGGTAAATGAAAAATATTTATATTACAAAAATGCCCAAAAGTAACCTTTCCCCAGTGTAACTTGTTGCGTTTGGTATTTTTTGGTTTTTGTTTTTTTTAAGGAAATTATTTTACAAAGCTGCAACTCCGGGGGAGAATTTTCAGTAGATTAAATACTGCCATTCCTTCTATGCACCAACTGTATGTGATCCTCAACATCTTAGATGTAATATTGAATGTTATGTTTCTTTTACTGGAAAATGGCAAAGCTGCTCAGAACTCTGGATGCAGCTTCCTTTGAAGTCAGAGTGACATCCTTCTTTTACCATTTTGTGAGAGATGGATTCAACACATCATGAAAAAAAGTCGCTTTTTCTGCTCGTCTCCCATAGCTGGCACAGGAGAACGCATGGCAAGACAAGGTATCTGGGGTGTCTGTGCTGACAGATTTCAGTTTTAAAGCTGACTTTCAGAGGGCTATCTTTAATCCTATTGGTCACCAAGAGACCCTAATAACTGTCTAAATTGTGAAAAGTGACACTTCCATTTTAATCCTGTATGGGACAGAAGAAGACGTACATCTCCAGTAACAAGATTTTTTTTTTAAATGCAGAAATTTCAGAAAAGCTAGTGGTAGGTAGTCTAGTGGTAGCTTTCTTTAGACAGTGGCTGATGTTTTAAACAAATATATAACCATGCCATAATGTAATCTGTAGTAGGAAAACATTTTATATGTTGTGGGTTTGAGAGAGGCTATACGCCATATGTTCAGCTAGAGGCAGTGGTAAGAAAAGAAATGGAAGCTTAAAGTACAGGAGAAGGCATGCTTATGGCTAATCCATTAGAGAAATTGCTCAAGAGTACTCCTGTGATGTGAAAATACATCATACTCTCAGGCTTAACAAGACCTAGTTTGATTGCCTGAGTAATATTGCTGGTAGCACTGAACTTTCACCTGTATGCCCAATTTTTTTGATTTAGCAGGAGCTCTATTTGAAGTATGCAATAAGCCTAAAAGGAATCTGCTGGGGATGAATGGGAGAGAGATTGGAAATGTGGAGGCAGGGGATGTGAAGGCTTTTCATTCTTTAATGAAGGGTTTGTCTTCTGGCAGTGACCAGCACTTCTGTTCCCACTTAGGCCCAGCCGTGTGTACTCAGGTATGGACTCTCTCCCATCTTTTTGGCACTTGTGCCTAGTTAAAACATGACAGGAAGAGTATGGGAACTCTGAAGAATGGGGAACAGGATTCCTGATGTGTTACTTAAGTGCCTGCATTAGGAGACAGCCCTTCTAAATCTTTTTAGGAATAATGGGCAAGAAACACGTTTGATGTTGCCAGAGCTCCTGAAATTCAGTCTGCCGATCAAACAGTGAGAAATATGGGTGTACAGCTAGACAGAATGAGACTAGTTCCATGTGAATGTGCCTCACACAGACACCTGCACGGACACACACAGAGAAAAAAATATTTTTTTAAAGTAACTGATTAAAGCTGTGCAATTAGCCTGTTTGCCCCATATAGCAACACATGAAGAAATTACTGCAACTACACTGGAATCCACAATCCCGGAATTGTCCTCTAAAATTCTAGTTAAAATGTGTTGTAGATGAAGATGAAGGTTTGCCCTGATCTGCCTAAACATGATTCAGTGACCAGAGTCAGAAAATATTTAAGAAAGAAGTGTCAGGCTGAAGGAGAAGGTAATATCTCAGTACTTAACAAATGTAGATGTCACTTAGAAATATCTATATTTCCTGGAAGTAAGAAGTACTGACATGGCACTTCCTATGTTCAGCTGCTATTGCTGTGGGTCTCTAGCCTCACCACACTGAAACTGCATTAAAGTTGAACATCTAAAATACCAAAAAGTTCACTCTGTAGAGCATTCTAATCAAACCTCGTAGGTTCTTTCAGTTAAAGTATCATTGATTTCTTATCTCATCATTTTTAGGCAGACTACACCTGCTTATAATAAAACCTGAAAGTGTCTTTGCAGACCTGAAGTCTTTGTCCAGGAACCTAAAAACAGTACTCGATATGACAGCAAGGCTCTGAAGAGTCTGTAAACAGTTATGAATCCAATTTTCACTCATCTTCACTATTTTCTTATACTTCATGACTACCAAAGAGCTGTTCTTTGTTTCCAAGCCAACGTCATTTTCATAACAAAAAGAGCTCTGTACTGTCTCTGCTTTTGTTTTTGCAGAATTCAGCTTTCATTGAAGAGATGTAATCCAAAATCTTCCTGACTGAGAAAAACTACAGATGTATCTTTTGCAAACATGAACACAGCTTTTGAAATACTAATAATTTTATCCTGAAATTTTAGACTATCCTCAACATAATAGTTGAGGTGCCCACACTTAAAACGTGATCAGTCTGGTTAGGTTCAATAAACTTTGAACCCTCAAAGGCTTAAGTGATCCAGCAGACAGTCATTTTCACTGATCCTCACAGTCTTCAGCAACACCAAGCAGCTAAGCCCCTCTGTCTTAAGCAAGGAAGATTAAAGAAATGGCACGTTTCAATTTGAAAGCACAGAGAGACAATCTGTGCTGTTAGTCTTGAACCCGTCAGTGTTTGTACAGCTGTTTCAGTAGCCCAGTGGGTTCTTACTCCTACCTTAACTTCCCAGTTACTGTTGCAACACAGCCACATTAGCACCAGTACCTCATAGGCTTACTTTGCCACGTTTGCCGCACTTTTAGCTATATCATGAGATGCTGCTCCAAGAGACTAAAGATACTCTAAGCCTCTCTGAAGGATTGCTCAGGGAAATGCCTGGTTTTGAGGGAAAGTTCTGCTTGCAAGGGGAAAACAGCCAGAGCCAGAGAGGAGAGGTAAGTAAATAAAAAATTCTAAAAAAGCAAGCCCATATACAAGCATGTATGAGCAAAGCATTGTGCAGAATACGATGCAGAGAAGCTAAATCATCTTTTAGGAGAAGCCTAAAAGTATTTGGAAATGTTTAGTTTGAACGTTCTGAAAACATTCTGACATTGACAAATGAATCTATAGAAAAAGAAGTAAATACCAACCAACACAGTTAGAAACTTAAAGTAACTTTTTTGAACACGGTGTTCTTCAAAGACTTTGAACACTGCTTTTATTAATTGACTTATTTTCTTAAATTCCCACATACTTAAGTTTTTTTTCAGTGCAAGCAATCTCACTGAAAGGGTAGATAAGCAACTGTCTTGAAAGTTAGTTTAAATGTGTGCTTAAGCATTTTCAGTGATTAAACTCTTCTGAGGGGATTTTGAACATTTTTGCCTTTTAACAATTGTGTACCTTCCTGAGCCATTCCAGGCAGAAACACCTTGCTCCTGTGGAAGAAATTAGCTGAACTTGACACGAAATAGGTGGTTATTTCAACAGTAATCCCACTTAAAGACTACATGCAGTGACAGATACCGTACAGAGGCAGAGTCAAAACACTGTCTCAAAGAGCTCCCCCTCTGAATCAGATATGGGACCCTGTAAGCAGCCAAAGAGGGAGGGAAGGGTGGATGGCACTGTAGAAATAATATAAACATTACTCACACAAAAGCTGCCTGTGTGAATCAGTGATGTTTGCATTCTCGTGCCAGAAGGGGTTTATCAAAGGGTAACATTCGCTCCTCACTGATAGAGAAGGGAAAAAACAATGAGAAAAAATTACACTATAATATCTTATTGCAATGTATCCTTTTTTTTTTTTTTGCATGCACATATAATTCATATAACATTATCTGCTTTTAAAACAGTCATTCCTAGGTAAGGAAGGAAAGGAGGGGATTTTCAGTACCCAGCATTGGCCAACTTCTCCCATTGGGCCTGACCACTGAAGTCAAGAGGGAAACATCTGTGGGTTTCAGCAGGGCTCAGGGTACAGGGAAGGGGAGGATGCCTTCAACCTCCTTCTTCTCCCCTGCTCCACTGCAAGTACCATCCGTTCTTGCCTATGATGAATATTACTTACTCCTTGTCTTTAATGGTGGAATAAAAACGAAAAGTAACATGCCTGGCATATAAATTAAACTAAAGGGGGAAAATCCTATAATATCCACATAGGGTTTATGGATCTTTCATTAAAATCCAGAACTGTGAAATACCAAGCAAGAGCAAACGCTGTACAATTACTTGGTGAGCTTGGTGAGTCTTTAGTCACTTACCTTTAGTGAGCATGGGATTAGTTAATTTTATTTACATTTATATTATTCATAGATACACATTTTAAAGTAATAATATTTATATTGATGTCACTTATAGTAATATTACTTATATTGTTTGTATATATAAACTATATATTGTTTAATATTATTTATGTTTATATACTTTATATTATTATTTATCACTTTAATGGCTTTAACCCCGAACTTTTGCCCCTTAATTCCCCCGACTCAAACGAAAAGACATCTCTCTCCTCCTAAACGGTTAACGTTTATTAAATTAGTTTGAATCAAAAGTTAACGTAAAATTCGGTTACAGCAGCAGAAAATTCGCTATCCCCAATGCCTCCTTCGGCAAGCAGCACAGGAGAGGCTCGACAAATGGCCCCCACTGCCGATGGGCACAGAGCACCGACAGGGGAGCGGACTTT